TATATGTATATGTATATGCATATGGATATGGATATGGATATGTATATGTATATGTATATGTATATGTATATGTGTACGTATATATATATATATATGCGTACACATACACACACACATACATATATATATATATACATACACATACATACATACGTATTTACATATGCATGTGTTTTCCCACATCTGGGCATAGATGGATGCATGGATGCATTGATCCAGAGATAGGTGGCAAAATGCAAAGCACGTCAGAGTTCCAGCAGGCTGAGATTGGCCCGCTCAGCATGGTTGGAGGCCTGCAGTACGTGTGATTGTGCGAGCATCTCACGTTGTAGTAACCCTTACAGTTACAGGGTTTAGGCCCAGGCTTTAGAGCCGACCCGTCCTGCTCGAAAGTGGTCTCTGTCTCAAGCGTTCTGGACCCCGAATTCTAAGCTTGCACAGAAGATGACAGACAAGGCTTTCCACAGTACTGGGCCACAACACCGAAACCCAGACCACCAGTCTGGAGCATGTTGGCAGCATGCTCTCAGCACGAGCGGAAAGAACAAGTCGCCCATGAAAGCCCTCTCGAAGCCATCAGCTCCCACAGTTCCACATCCCCTAGCCGTGCCAGGTCCGCGGGCCCAGGTCCAAATCGAGCTCCACCGTGCTCAGGTGGCACGACAGCCGGTAGGCGCCATCCAGGCGATGGGTTTCGTGGCCTGCCGTGTGCACATAAAAAGCAGACGTTCCCGAACATTCCATAATCCAAAAGGGCTGCTAAGGGAAGGCGGGCCCCCTCCCGGATGGTCCAACGTGTGCTACGGATGTGCATGCAGCACTGATTTGACTCATTCCCGGCTTAGACTCCGATGTGGGCCTCGGGGAAGGATTGAAACTGAGGGAACCTCAAATTGGGACCGTGACTCAGCGAGGAAGTCAGGAGAACGGCACTGCACAGAAGGACAAAACCTGAAGTCCACCAAGTCGGAAAGACAGAGTACATGACACAAAACAACAAGTGCTGACACAACGACATGCATGCCGTCCATGTAAGCATTTGCTGCATTTGTCGACATGTAGTTAGACACGCAGAATCTTGCATGGATGGCTCCAGTGTTTGTGCAGACATATTATAGCATGAAGAACCAAACACATGTTACAGATACATGCTGCGTGCGTGTATGTGCGCACATGCGTAATTATGCATGTATGTGTGCAAAATGCATGCGATCGGAGTCGCAGGACAAAAATAAGTTTGGGCTTGGTCGATACATCAGCGGGCTGATTGAGAAAACTAGTCTTGTGAAACAGTTGGCGACGTTTGGAGGGCACATGTGACGAATCATGATTTCGCACCAGTATGCGTGAGTGTTCTCTACCCGCAAGTCACCGTTTTGCGTATCTCAGCAGTCAGTGAGTGAGCAGACGAATGTGACGGTGTGACAACGGGCAGGACGGAAAACAAGAGGTAGATCGACATGTAGATAGGTCAGTTTAGCAATCTTTGGGTAGAAGCTTGTTAGCATGCCGTGTGGGACCGGGACAGCAGTTCTCATTGCTCTTTGAGATTTCACAACATCACTCGCCCAGGCCAAGTGGACGGAAGTGCCGCGACCGAGGGGTGAAAACATAGACATAACGAAAAACAAGTCAAGATGTTAGCAGGAGGTGGAAGCAGGTGTGTCACCTTTTGCATCACGCTTTCTTTACTTATGTTCACATTGTTGATTACATTTTTCACCCGGTCATGTTCCATCCATTTCCACCAACTACCGCATCGAAAACTTCACAACTCTCGGCCGTATCATAGCCAGTTTTTGGCTTCCTCCGAACCACAAACCCGAAAACCCTAAAGCCCCAAACACGGGAAGTCTGCAGGCAGAAGTCCTGGACTTTCTGGAGGCCGGTCTCGGTTGCTGCAACTCATTCTTATGCTAGACTATATTGTTTATGTTGTTTCTTCTAAATATGCTATTTTATACTCGGCGACTGACTATACTGTATTATGTTTATGTTAATACTGTATGCGTTGAGGCTAGACTATATTATTGGATACTGTATTAGACTACATTGTACTTATAGGATACTCTCTCTCTCTCTCTCTCTCTCTCTCTCTCGCTTCGGTCGCTTTTGTCAGTTCTGGCGACCAGGATCCCGAGAAGTATGGCCTGGTAAACCGCAGCTTCAATCTGGTCGTGCCCCAGCCGCGTTTTGGAAAGGCTGCTAGGAATCCGGGACAAGGGCGGATCAACTTGTCAGAAGTTGGCGCATAGAGCGATTTGGAAGCCTGAAGAAGGGAGCGAGCCGTTCGAGGGCGGGAGGTGGGTTGGACTGACCAACCTGGAACCGGAAAGCAACAATCTGTTAGGTTTGGTCTGGGACCTTGGCCGGCGAAGCTGAAATCACGAAAGATGCTTCACACCTGTTTACTATGCTTGTAACTCTTTCTTGCGATTGCTGAGCCTGTGCGAGCTTTCGGCTGTCGGGGATTGTGGGTGGGTTCTCCAGATGCCGAAACAACAGAAAATTCAAGCCGAAGCCCTGAAAGAGCCAGGTGTCAGAGACGGCTCCAGAAGCTAAAGAGAATGGAGGAAAGCCAATCACCGTCGAGTTTCTGTCTTCCTGACTTGACAGACGGTGTCGCCCAACCCCGACGAGATCTCCTTCCGCCAGCTCTGCACTGCCATGGGCCCAGGCCTTGTTTGCTGGGTGATTCACTTGTCTGAGCTGCTTGGAAGGCCCTAGCAAAATCGGAGCTCATCGAGCGAGACGGGCTTGTTTGCATCGAGTACCCTCGAGAGCTAGGCGCTCCAAATAAGAGGTCTCAAGCTGTGTTTGGAGCGCTGTCCTGTGCAGAGTGCTTGAGGTGCCCTGCCTCCGGTGCTTTGTGCGCCCTTCGACGACGAAGATGACTTCGACGACGTGGCCGCGGGGGTGCCTGTCCTGCACGGACTCAGGCAGGAGAGGGCTGATGAGAGTCGAGACAAGGAGGCCAGATGGAGCCCCTATGATTCAGGAATCGGGAGTATGGTAACACTATGCTTGAATCTCAGTCATGGTGGCTTCCCCAGCCTCCGGAAATGCCCGGTTGCTGTCAAGGTTGGCAATCTACACCAAGTTGCCTACTGGAGTCGCGGCCTGAACATAAATCGCCTCAAGGTCAGATAGGATTCATCTTCCGACTTGAGGTGCGAGGGCGGACGGGAGAACCCCGTCCATGGGAATTCACAGAGACCCTCATGCAGCCGAAGCTACGGCAGAGGAGCACAAGGGGCCAATGAACGATGCTTCAGCTTTTTCACGCACAAGAGTGCATGTGCAGAGAGGTAGGTGGAGGCTGTTATCCCGACGAGGAGCCGAGACCTGTGGCGCACGCCGAGCATCTTTGCCAACCACGGCGAGCGCGGCTTTGCCGTGCCGAAGAAGGCCTGACGATCAACTTCCGAAGCGACTGGTAGAGTGCATGTCCGTTTCAAGCGACGTCGCTGCTTGTGGTCGGCCCGGGTTGCCATAGGCATCCTTGCCAATGTCTTCTGATCTTTTATGCGTCTGGGGAGTTTCCACGCTTCTGTCTCAGGCCCCCGCCTTGAAGGAGTGAGGTGCAGCGGCCAGACCTGAACTTATTTCGTTCGGTTTCACCCTCAAGTTCTATCGGAGCGGATCGTGGAGACCTGCAATCCCACAAGCCAAGAAAAGAGGCGTTGCTTTGGGCTTCCCTTCGGGCTGAAGGGGGCCACAGCACTGCACGGCATCTCTACGCACCGCTCTCACTGCCAAACTGCCAGGGCTATCGAACTGTACCTGCGCGGGGGTATGGCTGCAAAGGCCGCGACTGAACACGGCGATTGCCTGACGTGCCCATGATTCATGTGATATCCTCTTTTGGTAGACGAAGTCCTGGTACACAGGCTGCAGCGGTGGTCCAGCGACATAATGCAAACTACTCCCAGGATCGGCTCGTCTTGCCACATCTGCGCCTACTGCCGAAGCACATAAACATAGACCTGACTCTTATGTTGCTTTCGCTTACGGTAACCCGCACATGTGCACCACCAGCGGTCGCATGTGATCACTCCTTCCTTCCTGCTGGATAATGAGAGTGCTCCTGATGGGCCGGTGTGGCAGGAGCTCTTGCAGAAGATCGTTGCCGGGCTTCAGGCCCACTGCTCCACTTTCTGCACTTTCATTTTTGGCATATGCAAGCGTCAGGTGATTTCGGACTGGACTCTTTAGACAGGTCGTCTCGACATGTGAATCCATTGGCCAATTCTGTGCAAGGCAAGCGGAATGCATGACCGTGCCGGTGGCCTCTACGAACGAATGGGTCTGATTCAGCCGGCCATGGACGCGTACCGTCGGGGACACGCCTACCGACAGGCGCCTGGCTCTCGTGCACACGTGGCACGTGATCGCATGGAAGTCAGGCCATCGAGCTGGCGAAGCACTCCCAGCCTGGCCTGGTGGCCAGACTCTCACTTTCTCGCTTGCGACCGCTCTGACAGAGACCTCTGGACTACCTGGACCCTGGAGTCGATGCAGTCTCAAGAGTGCCAATACCCAGGTGGCCCTGGAGGAGGAGTGGGGCGACTGGTTGGTCTCGCAGCGGCAGGCATGGCTCACAGCGGTGCACTGTGGTGGCTCTCGAAATATGCACGAGAACAGTCGACTTTGCTTGCAGGTAGATGCAGCAATCAATCACTACATCGAGGCCCGGTTTGCTGCCTTTCTAATCTATGCGATCTAGTAAGGACGGCGACAACAGCAGGAGGAGAGGATGAACAGCAAAACAAAACAACAGTAGACAACAAGCAAGAGTGGCGGGGAAGCTTACGTTGGCAGTCATCATCATATAGGCAGAAGTGTATGCCCAGAATGATTTTTCACATCAGTAAGGGCGGTAATGAGGTGCAGCGACATCTCGTATGGAATCCTTCCCCCAGCTAAATCAGACTTCGCACTTCCAACGATATGCCCCTGCCTGCGAGCAGTTGTGAAAGGGCATATCTTTGGCGGTGTAGTTCAAGGGCGGATCCCGAACACGAGTATACTCCTCCGACATCAGTGGATTGTAGGTTCCATACTGTGGCTGTTCGGTTTCCTGTCTACTTGCTGTACCGCCGGCGGCCGTGGTCTTGTCCAAAAAGAATGGTGGTGTCTACATGTCCTCATTGTTTCTTTGGGGCCGGTCCGATGTTGCCAAAACAGCAGTTCACAGCAGAGCGCAGATGATTCTGAAATCGTCGAAGAAGAGAACGAGGTGGCAAAGACCTGCCACCAAAACAGGAAAGGAGACACACGCACTCACACCCGCACACGCACACATGTCAAACCGCACAGCACGCATACAGCAGTACTACCCACGTGTTCAGTTCTGTAATCACGAGTATATTGGATAAGGTCCTCGGGGTGTCATGCGTCTTGCTTCTGAGACCTGCATTTGGTAGCCAAAGCCTCGAACACTTGGAGATGGCAGAGCTGGCAGAGCCGCTCTGATCCTCCTGTGGTTCATGGCATCATATGAAGCGGGCTCTCACAGCGCAGCCAGGCCGGCTCAGCTCAGAAGGCAATCGATGCCGCCATGCTTGGCACTCGGTGCCGGATGCCCCAACTGAGAGGAGAATCAAGCAACGCACGAACGATTACGCCTGCAGTTCAGCAGTGGTGTGCGCGATGCAGTGATGCAGTGGTATAAGGCTTGTACTGGTGGGAGTGATGGCACTGCCGGATATGTTAGGAAAGGGCAAAAGCCTCACACTAGTTTTAGCGTGAAGGCAATGGTGCCGCAAGAGCAGGAAGAGGAGCGAGAGGCTGACCACAAAGAGCAAGAGGAGTGAGAGCAAGCAGAACAAACATGACAAACGCGCTTTAAGATGGTTGCAAAAATCACGAGCAAGGTGCGCACGGCAAGCACAAACAGCAGGATAAAGTTCAGAGCACCAGAGATGTGGAAGCCATCGTCGTGCTGAGTTCAGCGCCTGGAGTAATGAGTGCACAATTTAAGAGGTCAGTAGCAGGGGCGAGACAAGTGGCTTAAGCAGCATCGCAGCTGTGCATCTGCCAAACCAAGGACCGCGCGGCAGTGGCACAAAGCGGAGACATTGCTGGATCAGGTGTGACTATCCTTTCTGTGCCGAAAGCTTTCTGAGGGCGACAGGGTGTGCATGCATCATTTGCGTGAAAAGAGGCATCAATGGGCGCAGATCAAAGCTTTGCGCTGCCCTTCTACGAAAAGCTGGCCATGCACTATGCGCACTCTCGCCAGTCAGATGCCCAGTCGCATGCGTAAATTTATGGACAACAGGCAGCCACTTGGATGATTTGCAAGCAGCAGCATGTCACGACGCACAGCTCATCACAGCTCCACACCAGGTAACTGGCTGCCACAGGTCGTCTCTGCTCAAGTTGCAGACACAGGTTATCTCGGAAGTTATCCCTCTACTCAGCAGGTCATGGCAGGCGTTGCCAAAATCTTCGTTCTGTCGCTGGCAACGCCTGCCATGGCAGTGGTGTGTGCCCAGAGTCCGGACCAGACGATGCTACGAAAAGCAGGAGTGCTGCTCAACAGCACTCTGGACGACACGCTCCAATGCATCGCTGGCTGTCCAGTGGACCCTTCCACCTTGGCCCCGAAAGCTCTTTGCGTCTTGGGCAACTGCACCTCGACCTTGGCAAAATGCCTCTTCTCCTCGACGTGCCGCAGCGGCGTCATGTGCGAGGCGCGTTGCACGACGGAGGATGGCCTGCACTTCGCCGCTTTGATGGAGTGCCTGAAAGACCGCTGCCCTGGCTTCCCGCCTTCAAAAACCTGTGTAGCACTGCACTGCACGAAGGAGGCCGCTGAGTGTGCCCTGCACAGCAAGTGCCGAGGGACGCTTGAATGTGCCAACGGCTGCGTGCCGTCGAAATATGCTGCAACCCTCGATGCTGTGGAGCAGAGCGTCCACGTTGAAGTCTAAGGCTTCTTGTCTTCGGGTCATCTGCTCGTAGCAGCCCAGCGCAAAAGGCGTGCCAGCTCGAGCAGAGACCTGTGCTGCATGGAGGACAGCAGCAGAAAGTTCTGGTCTTCAGAAGTTTCAGCCGAGGTTCGACCAAGCAGAACGAGCTTTCATCAAGTCTGGCCGACCACAGCGGGCTGCAACGCCCTGAGCCTTCTCTGCTTCTTGTTCCGACCATGGTGACTGAGTGAACATCATGTCTCTCCCCAAGGTGCAGATGTATGTGGAGCACGCGCAGTGCGCACGGGCTCTCGTGGGCCATGGGCGATGTTCACCAACTTGGGTTCCCGTTTCCTTAGCTTCGTGCCGTGCGTGCAGGTACGAGAAAGCTCACCGTGTTGCAAAAGCACACCTCTCCCCTGCAGAGAGGACAGAGCTCTACATTGCCCTGGCGCAGGCAAGGGGACAGGCTGAGATCGCGTTCGTTGTCTTAGCGCCAAAAAGTGCCAGGGCCTGGAGCAGTCGGTGAAACTGCAAGAGGCCGGCCTCTTCCGATGTCCTTCTCTTTTTTAAAATTCTGGTGTTCATGTCTTTCAATGTTAGCCATTATAGCCCCCCTTGAATCAGAATGGGGCCCGAGATGAGTCGTCAATCAGCCGTGCTGCCTGGTACAGGCTGAACAGATGTACTTGGCCGTCAACGAGTTTGATCTGGCCATCAACATGCGACCTTCTCAGTTTCCTCACCTCTCAAATGCTTTGAGGCAGAGCTTGTCGCAGCTGAGGTACAAGAAGCGTGAGGAGTACGAGCAAATGTTGCGCTTGGTATCCAAGTACCGTAAGGACCTGCCGCTGCTGAGAAAATAGGAGATTGGCTTGATTTGGCCGCGAAAATATCCGAGGAGCTCCTGAATGATACCTACAAGCACATTGCAGAGCAATACGAGATGAAGGGCAACCTCAAGAAAGCCGAACATTACTATGTTGAGGCCCAGGGCTGGGTCTTGCTAGCAGCCTTCGACATGAATGGTACCATCCCAGTAGATTCAGTAGATGCGACGTCGAACACACACAGCACATATGTCTTTGAAGAACGGTGCCAGAGCCTTCGAGGCGAAGATGTGGACCAGCGCCATGTCCATGTACCGCCAGCTCGAGAAGTGGGAAGATGCGAAGCGGGTGGCAAAGGCCCCCCCCATTTTTTTCCACGAGTCCAAGAGCTGGGTCCATGTCCACGGTTGCTTCAGTTTCTGTGCGAGGCTAACGGCGGCAAGCAGTCTTTCGAAAAGGTGGTCCTGGCTCAAGCTCACGCCGCTCCAGCTGGTGTTACGATGGGAAGGGAGAGGGGAAATAGACTAAATAGACTACATAGACCCCAAACCTACACGCCCTCTCCGAACGTTTGTGGGCATGGGAGGCGACCTTCAAGGAACACGGAGCCGAGGCTGGAAAAAAGGTTGGGACTTCTGGACCGAAATTGTGTGATGCCCCGTAGACTGGTGCACAGCTGCTTGCCAAGCACGGCCTCATCGAGATCGTGGACCCCTCGGCTTGCACACACTGGCACGGATCTTTGAGCAATGGCAAAGATGGATCAGAGGCCATCGACTATGCAGTGGAGCATAGCAACTTCCAGCATGCTTTCGAGCTGGCGAACCACTCTGCGAAGCACAAGCTTCCGGACATTCACCTCAAGAAGGTGGGGCCTTGTTGGTTTGAGTATTTTATGTTACATTATGTTATATTAGATTTGTGATGTTATGCTAGATTAAATTATATTTTTGTATCACACTATACTATATTTTTTTACAGTATATTACATACAGTACATTATAGGTATAATATAGTATGCTATAGTCTATTATATGATGTTAGAGTATATTATAGTACATTATCGTATATTATAGTGTAGTATGTTATGGTATATTGTGTTATCTTATACCATCTTATATCGTATTACAACCCCAAGGGAAGACTTCTTTGCTCGAGGCATTGGCTTTAGAGGATGATGAGCAGCCGCTGTCTCAGGAAATATCGCGGCACACCCCTAACTTAATGAGACGTCTATGCATGTGCCACCTGAGGTTTAAGCTGGCAGAGGAGGAGTTCATCAAGGCGAACAAGCCCAAGGAGGCCATCGACATGTGCCTGGGCCGATTTCTGTGAGGTGTGGCTTAGCCCACAATTCAGACCATTAACTTGTTGAAGATGCACACGTGCAAGCCGGCCAGGTACGTGCATGGCCGCGACTGGGTGTCAGCCATGCGTGTAGCAGAGGCGGACTCCATGGCTTGTGCAGAGAATCTCCAGCTTTGCTTTGGCTGTGCCAGGCATACGAACGCGAGAGCGTGAAGGATGTGATGGTCCACCACGCCAAGGATCTCGTCGATCAGAACAACATGCAGGAGGGACATATAAGGAACCACTGTGTGTGAGAGCTATGCAAAAACTGTTGCTTTGGTGAGCAGGCCGCCGAGAACCTCTTCGTGCAGGCCGGCAAGCCCGAGTTGGCAGTGAAGGCAGGCGGTGTCTGATCCCACGTGCGGAGACACCCCTTCATGGTGGAATTCGGAAGGCATATTCCTCCAAGCGCATGGTGAACGAAGCCGTGAGGGTGCTGTTCTCAGCAAAGTGATCACAGACCTGATTATCTCAGCAAGTGCAAGATGGCAGCGCGGGGCATTGCAAGCCGCCGGCATGGTGCACTCGTGCTAAGGTCTGCAAGAAGCACTGCCCGCAGATGTTGGGTGACGTGGTCGACTCCTACGGTGATGGGGCCGCTGCTCCAGGCGCTGGTGGAGCAGCGCTCCATGAAATGAATGATCAGGTGTGAGGCAAACACGACTTACAGAGGTCGGGTGATGCCAGCGAGGCGTAAGATAGCGAAAAGGGAGAGCACAAACCAAGATCAGCAAGTCACCATCCACGCCAGTATGCACCATCCGTGTGATACTGAACACGTCCAGGCGCAGCACAGAGCCTGGACGAGATCCTGGATGCTGCCAAAATCTATGAGGCCCCCTAACGGCAGTTCTCCAGGGCCTCTTGAAATTCTAGCTCAAAGTTCAGAGTGGAGGTGCTGTCTGACAACTGAATATAATAGAGGAACTGATGGACTGACCTCCAGGGGCATGCTTGCAAGCTGCGCACGAGCGTGCAACGCACTAGACGTAATCTCTGAGGCAAGGATTTCTTGCAGGGACTGGGCTTGGGCTTTGTCGCTGGACTCTGAGCAGGAGACGGGCAACTATTTGCGCGCCATCGACGCGTACCTGTCAGTCCATTCCCCAGGGCGGGGAGTTCCAACCTTTGGCAGGCTACCCTCCGACCCACATTTCGCGCCCGGTAAGGTGAGCGAAACGGCTTCTTCTGAGCCGGACCGCTTGGAGGAGGCTCACGGAAGCTAATGTGTGGCAGGGTTTCGGGTTTAGGATTTGGGAATTTAAGGTTTAAGATCTAGGCTAGGATGCAGGGTTGAGAGGTTAGGATTTAGGGATTTAGGGCGTGGGATTTGGCGCGGGTCGAGGGTTCAGGGTGAAGGGCTTAGGGAGGTTGATTTGAGGCTGCTGCGCTTGGTTGAACTCGTTTCAGGTAGGGGCCTGAACATCCTGAGCAAGAGTTTGACAACATGGGTTTCAGGTGCGCATGCAACGGCACAGTATGTGTAGTAGTGTATAGTATGGTGTAGTATAGTACAATAAAGCATGGTATTGTGTGGTATAGTATAGTATAGTAAAACACAGCATGGTATAGTATGGTATGGTATAATCTAGTATAGTGCAGCATAGTACAGTATAGTACAGTACATGTTTAGGCTAGTCTAGTATAGTACAGAAAATACGTAGTATAGTGTAGTATGGTATGGTTTAGTATAGTATAGCATAACATAGTACAGTAAATTATAGTCATTATAGTACAGTATAGCAGGGTATTGAGGAAGAAGGCACGCGGAATGCCAGGCGTGCTGCAGGCCAGACTTTGGAAGTCTCGGAGTCAAACCGACCTTTCAGTTTTCAGTTGCCGGTGTGCCCATGGCGACAAGTGCCCCGCTCCTGGGCAAGGCCGCCCACAGCAAGGCATCGATCTTCTATGGAGCAGATGAGTATCTTGAGGAGCTCAAGAAACGATACCAGCACGACCACGAAATTGCTGCGTTGAAGAATGTTCTGCCGGGCGAGGGGGATCCTAACGCTGCAGGCGTTGCCCAGAGCAACGACAAGATGCTCTCCGTTCAGAAGAACGACGAGAACAGGAGCCTGAAGACGAATCGGCTCTTCCCGACCCCGAACAAGCCAGACCCGATGCCGCAGAACTTGGCATTCCTGTTCACCAAGATCACGCCGGGCCGGGGTGCTGCACTTGATACTATTTGTGGTTCGCAACGGTAGCTTCAAGTACACTGTACAAGAAACAGATTGGGGTATGTCCACAAATTTGGCACACTTCGGCATGGTGCCGTTTGTGACCCCTCCCCCCAAAAAAAAGTGTCGATTTTTTAAGAGCAGTGGTTTTAGGAGCAGATGATCTACATGCCACTTGTCAGAGTTGGGCAACGTTTTACATTTGTATGGGTACTTAAACCCAGGAAGTAATAGCAGTTCATATTTTCAATACTGTCCCAACCACGGACTAGGTGGAATGTCCTTAGCCGCCGATCCTCTACCTCCTCGTCGGTGGCGGCGGGGTGCACCATACGTGGCAGGTGCGCTGCGAACAGAGGAAGCAAAGGACTCTTCTTGTGCAGCAAGGCATGGATCTTCAGTGTGATGTGCCTGCAGTGTGTCATGACAACTTCTGCCTGTGATGCATTTGCCTGCAAATACTCCTTCGGCCGGGCGCTTGAGCAAGATAATTCATTTCCTTTTCATGCAGATCTTTCATACCATGCCAATTACTGGGTCGCTGGGAATACCCGCGACGAGAGCCACCAGCTGTTATCATGTTCTTCTGTAGGGCTTACCCACAATATGGACAATGTGACGCAGCACAGCAACTTTTCTTTGAGCCAGCCTGGTACTTTCACTGGGCTGGAGGAGACTTCTCTTTGGATGCAGTTTTTCGCTTTATATGGCGGGATTGCTTTTACCGTTACTGCACTCTGTATGGCCGCGAGACGAGCCAGAGATGCTGTTCGGGAGTCGCTGCAAACCTGTCAGAGCCAGAAGAAGACGACAAGACGCCAATGCTACTTAAAGCATAAGCGTTCCTGCATGCGAATTTCTTTAGTGACTTCAGTGGCGCGACGACGCCCAAGAAGATCGAAGCGAAGTAAGCAGACGACGTGTCAGAGGTGTGACAAATTTGTGACAGAAGCTCGCAGATGCAGTTCACACAGAGTGAAAGCTCCGAGAATCAAGCATCACAGAAAGGTGAGCAGGCTCAGAGTTGGTCGCTTCAAGAGACGCCTTGATGCGGGACATCGCAGAGTCTGCCCGATTTGGTCTCGAGGACAGCGCATACGTTGCCTTCGTGTAATCCCGTGCTACAAACAGCAGCAACAAGAACCCCTTCCGCAGCGACCGCAGTGTGTGTCACCACCACATGTTTCTTGTGACAATGTCCGATTGTCCTGGTTGGGTGGAAAAGGCGCAGCTGCCACAAGACGTAAGCGTCGTGAACGTGAGCAAGCCGCGCAGCCGGGCACTCTGCCCACACCTCCCTGCTCCCCCTCTCAACACTCGTCCTGGGCAAGATGGTGGCACACCACCGTTATCCCTCCTCGATGCTGTTGAGGCCATTGTGCGCACAACCAGGCTTGGTGCCCTGAGCGAGACCAACTTTCAGGGTGCCCTTCTTGGACTCCTGTCCTCAAGAGGTGTGCAGACTACTCCGCAGCGACAGCAACCTCCCCCGAGTCGAGTACTTGCTCCTACGCATGCGCAACAGGCCACGACTTCCGCCAGCGCGCAGCAACAACCTTCACAGCATCCTCGGCGTGATCAAGACGATGGATGGCAGCAAGTCGCAAGTAGAAAGGCTACACGGCAAGCTCAACCGAAGCAGCCTGAACAAAGCAACCTTCGGCAAGTCTACGCTTCGCCTCTGCGTACTGTACAAGTCAAAGAGCAATCGGTGCAGTCCATCCAGCAGGTTATCTCCAGCGAGTGGACCAAGCCACCCACCTTCATGACTTTTGACGAAACACTCAAGGCCATTGAGGACAACTCCAACCCCAAGGGCGACATCGTCGAGGTCACGTGGGAACAGTACGACAAAATCGCCGACTACGCGAAAGCCTTCGGAACATCACTTGCCATCACTATGCTTTGGCAAGGACACAAACAAGCCAACAACGACAAGCAAACCTCTGCCTGGATCCGTGCACGCTCTTCGTCCACAGGGCAGTTCAGACCCGTGCAAGTCACGTGCGAGCAAGTGTCCAATACTTGCGGACCGATGCCGAGGCCCCCAAAGAAGGTCGCCATCAGCAGTACCAAAGATGGTGACAATGGCGATTGCAAGATTTTTCTTCGAGTTACCGCTCCAGAGTGTTATCGCAAGATTTTCAGCGATAGTGGGAAAAACGATACTCCAGCAAACATTATTGATGTGATCAAGCGGTGGGAAATTGCTGGCCTGTCTTTAGGGCAGTTGACCCACGGAACGTGGAAACGCCAGTGGGGAACCAAGGGGTATGAGACCGTTGGTCATCTACTCCTTCCTCCAAAAGTTGCCGACCTTCTGCTTGCAAAAAGTGGTCAGAGGGGCGTCTTTTGCACGCGCACTCGTGCTGGAGACACTTCTTACAAGCAGGCTCCTGTACATTGGATTACACGACAGTCCAATGAGGAGGACGAGGACTACTTCAGGCGAGTCAGCGAAAAGTCTGGCCCTGTACGCTACAGAACGGGTGGCAGCAACGACTTGGGCGTCGATGCCGACAGCAAAGATGATGCAAGCAAGGCCATCAAGCAGCACTGGCGACTTCAAGGAGCTCCAAGTCATTGGGACGACGTCGACCTCAACGACTTCCTTGAAAAGCAGGGCTGGAAAGACGTCAAGCTCCACAAGCGTAGCGGCGGCAGAAGGCCTGGTTCCACAGCGACATGGTTTCTGCAAGCCCTTCCACCGGGAGAAGACGACATGGAGATCTACGAGGACAGCAATGGCGAGTTCACCATCATGGTCACTACGACAAGCGCTCCTCGGCGCCCACCGTTATGGTCTGAACCGTTACGACCTCCTCGCAGTCAATGGGGTCCCTACAACGCCTCAAACGCCGACACCGAGGAGGAGAAGCCACCACCGGGCAAGAAGCCTCGCAGCGACAACGACGACCGTGGCAACAAGGGTGATTGCAGCGTTACTGCTGAGGTTTCGCAGCCAACGGCGGCTCCGACGCAGTTGGATTCGCCCCCGGAGAACAAGCGCAAGGAGCCTGAAAGCAGCGAGCCTCAAGGCAACAGCGACGTCAACAAGCCTCTTCCGCAGCAACCGTCCACCATCGACGAAGCTACGCAGCTTGGTTGGACGGAGTTTGACGCCGGCGGAGACGGTGACTGTTTCTTCAAAGCCTTCGTTCACAGTGACGCTCGCGTTCGCAAGCTCCCCACGGATACCAAAAGTACGGAGAGGGAAGCCTGCAAGCTTCGAGTTGCGGCCGTTGCTCACATGAAAGACCCCAAGCACTACAATCGCTTCAAGAGCTTCTACCAGAAAGAAGACGTGGCTGCCTTGTACCAGGAAGTTAACCAGCCTGCCCCGAAAGACTTTGACGACTTTCTCAAGTTGTGCGCTGGCAAAGGCTTCTGGGCCAATCAGCTGGTCATCCAAGCAGTCTCGGAAAGAACAGGTGTCCCAATTGTCATTTGGAACGCCTCCAGCAAAAAGGTTGACAGCGACTTCTACAAGCTCTCCAAGGAAGAGCAGCAACGACAAGGGCGCCCTCGAACTCAACGCGTGTGGCATCGTGGTGTGGTGGCGCCAAGATTTCAGGACGACTTCGCCGTCAGCAAGGTGAACTACAGTGGAGTTTCTCTCGTCCTTCGCAACAACCACTACGTTTGTCTCCTTCCCCCACAACACGACTGTGAACTTCCGCGGATGTGGCTCCGCGAAACAAACTCTTTGTTTCCCCAAATCGGGGGGGCTGGTGAGACGAACACGCCTGCAAAGTCTTCTCGCTCGACGGCTACACCGAGGATTGTGGAAGGGCACCGTTGGGGTGCCTGCACTCCGAGTACTAATCCGAGAAAGTCTTCTTCTTCGTCACGTTGGGGGCCGGCTACTCCTAACACTGGTGTGAACAGGACCCCTTCACCGCCAAGATGGGGAACGAGGACGCCTACGACTACGCCTTCGCAGTCCAAGACCAACCGTTGGGGCTTGGCTACACCTGCTACCTACAACCACCGAAGCGGCAGCAAGAGCAAGCGACAGTTGGACCTGGTTGGCAGCTACAGCCGCG